AAAACTCCTGTCCCGGAAGCTGCTTGTAGTCGGCTTTGACGTAGGTTTCGTCGTCCATTACCACGCAGTCAAACTTCGTCAGCATCGTCGTGTACAGCCTCCGGGATCGCGCTTTGGCCGTCGTATTTTGTTTATCATCGCGATTTGGAGTCACTACCTTCTTGTAAGTCGATAGTCCGGCTCGTTTTTTGGCTCGATGCACGGTTGTAGACGATACACCCAGCTTATTTGCGGCATCTCGGAGAGAGAGGTTAGGGCAACTCTCTTTGTCGTCTCAGCGGCTTCCGGTTTTCGATTTCCCCCCGATCCAGACTTCCTGGCTGTCGACAAACGTTTCCCAAACACTTTAATTACATTTGTAACGGTTGATTTGGCAACTTTTAGCGATTTTGCCAACTTTGCGTGCGAGTAGCTCGGATTTTCGCGATGCGCGAGCAAAATTTTGATACGCTGCTCTTCTTGCTTGGACGGCATTTTGACAACTGAAGAGTGAATTCCAAAATCAAAATAGGAGCAACATTCTACACACACACACCTTCAAAATGAGGGGTGTTCAGGTTTTTTAAATGCAAAATTGAAAGAAATACGTCAAGTTGATATTGACCAAATTTTGACCGTATCACCCTTTACCCATTAAATGAGTAAAATTTTACCCATTTAAGAGTAATTACAACTACAAAAATAAGTAGTAAGTATTCATTTGTGAGTATCAAATTCTCAAAAATGGCTAATTTGTTTACTCATTTAATGGGTAGTCCCAGTCTCCCTCGAAAATGCTTACTTTATAGTTATTATTGGGTATTTGTCGATTACCGTGCAGGGTAACTGAAAATTTTGGCGGTGCTGTCTTCCGTTCGGCGTGTCAGCTATTTGATTAATCTAAATATTCGCAATATTTCTTAATAATTCGGTATCAATAATTAAAAAGAGTGCAGTTGCTTTTGTGAACTGGCTTCAGACAAATAAATGCTCGCACAAATACACAAACATAATAGGAAGAGGAATATTTTTTCTAATAGGGGAAATGGATCAATGATTGGGCCCATCGCTAAAAATATGCTATTTATCAATTTTATCTAGATGAACGCGTCATTGGGACGATACTAATGGATATTTTTGGTCTCAATTGTCGATTGCTGAAATTATGTATGGGCCCAAATTAGGGGCATTTAAGCCAAAATTACACCCATTTCCCCTAGTAGATTATAAAGCGTAATTCAATGTGCAACGTTGAATGATTGTGCGGCTTGTGTCGTTAGGGATCAACTTTCTGATGGCTGTGTTAGGGGTGAGCACCGTGCGGTCGAGGAAAATGTATGGGAAATTTGAATATTTCCATATTTCTTCATTGTTAACTATTTGAATATTTAACAATTATAATATGTGACGTACCACAAAAATCTTATAACACTGGTGAATCGATCGACATACAAATCATCAAAATCCAATGATTTTGGTCCAAGTTATTAGCATTTAAAGTTTGACCAATTTTCGTTGCATTTCCCTGTATTGGCACCCTTCCCGAAAGACGTAGTCCTACGTCAAAAATAATCCAAAGGATTTTTGAGCATAAATTCTGGTGTATTGTTAGGAGAATGTCATGACATTTTTTAAATAAAAATCTCTATTACTATTGTGAAGAGTTATCCAAGTGATTTCTAACGATAGTATCTACAGTATTTTGAAGAGAATAATTTATTATTGCAATACGCAATACAATCCTCAACTTGCTTTCCTATGTGTATATTATTTTCCTTGGCGGTAATAGTAGAAGAAAATTAGTATAAGTGAGAATAAGCACACAATTACTTGAATATTCTCACTAACATTGGTTACTGACTAATAATCCCTTCGTTCAATAAAATCATGAAAAAGGAATTAAAAAATATAATCCAAAGGTATTTTGAGCAGATTTTTAGAGTTTTACGGAGAAAGAACTCATTCCAGCTCAAGTGGGTACACATTTAAAAAAAGTTGTGGTCGATGTCACCGATTTGAGCCAAACTTGACCAAAACGCTTATTTTGGCATTCTGAACAAACTCCTTTTTTGATTTTGTTCTAAAGTGTCTAGATCCTGCTGGGCTTTCCCCTGGATTTTCGAGGTTTTTTAAAAATTTCAACTTTCAGAAGAGATTTCTCCACAACCAAATAAGCTATTCGTGATCTTAGAAAGTCAATTTGAAGGTTTTTTAATGTTTATTCTTATAGGTGTACCCATGTTTTGGCTTTGTTATAGTAACTACAGTAAATTGTCAAAATATGGCCTATTTTCACCATAAGCGAGATTTTTTATTTTCTAATATTTTGGGCTCAAATCCTAAAAGTGAAAAATACGTTCCTATGGGATACAACCAAAACGTTCTTCCACGATGAAATCAGATAGATTAGCAGGTATACAAAATTTCAGTTGTGGATGAAAGCTGCTACTTGCAAGGGTATTTTGAGTAATTAATCTCACGAGCAAGAATGCAGTTATAAAGAAAAATAAACGCTAAATCTTTATTTTTCATTTTTTTAAAAACACACCCATTTAAGATCGTAACTGTCATGTTCTTCTTCTACGCATTTGAAGCTTATTGCTTATATTAGCTTATTTCGTGCTCTCAACTTAATGTTCTAAATGCACTTCCACTGTTGTTAATTGAGAGCTTTCGATGCCAAAATCAATGCATGACTTAACTGTTAACGTAACTGTCATGTATCGTCAGCAAACCCATAGTTCAAAATCAGTTTTTCAACCATTATGTACCATGTTTTCACTGCCATCTTCATCCACCCACCGTTATTTGTGTGTGTTTTCAAAAATGTTTATTTTTCTTTATAACTTTCAATGTTTATTTTTTTATAACCATAAAAAAAAACATTTTTGCTTGTGAGATTGCATCTAAAACAATAAAATAATTACTCAAATAAGGGTATTATTCAAGTAGCAGCTTTCATCCACAACTGAAATTTTGTATACCTGCTAATCTATCTGATTTCATCGTACTTCTAAAGCACAACGTTTTGGGTGTATCCCATAGGAACGCATTTATCACTTTTAAGACCATAATTAAATTATGAACAGAAGTAAATAAATAAGGTAGTAATGATTTCATATAATGAGAATCCTGCCCAGAACAAGTGAAATATAACATTAAAATATTATTGTGTCATCAGCGTGAAGGAATTCAAGAAAAAATAAAAATATTTTAAATAGCATAGATTTTTCACCCGAAAAGCTCAAAACTACCTCTCACTCATCTGGTCATATCTCAAAAACTATTTGTCCAAATTATTTACTCTTGCAAACACATCTAGTAGCAGAGTTTTCCAAAGTTTTTTGAAAATTTGAGCCCAAAATATTAGGAAATAAAAAATCCCGCCCATGGTGAAAATAGGTCTTTTTTGACAATTTTAATAGCTGCCGGTAATCAGGCTGTTAACTATAGTTACTATAATAAAAACAAAATATGGGTACAGCTATAACAATTAACATTCAAAAACCTTCAAATTGACGTTCTAAGATCACGAATAGCTCATTTGGTTGTGGAGAAATCTCTTCTGAAAGTTGAAATTTTTAAAAATCTCGAAAATACAGGGTTGTAGCCAAGAAGGATCTAGACACTTTAGAGCAAAACCCTAAAAGGCATTTGTTCAGAATGCCAAAATAAGCGTTTTGGCCAGGTTTGGCTCAAATCAGTGACATCGACCACAGGTGGTGTACCCACTTGAGCTGGAATGACCCTAATATGTAATTTTTAAAGGATATATTGAAAACATACTCTTGAATGTTTTGAGAATAAATTCATAGAAATTCCGAGCAGAATTTGCAGGAATTGTGAAACGAGGAAGGAAATCCTAGACAATCCTAATTCAAAATTATGCTATCTACCACTCGAACTTTTCCGTGAAACAATAATTTTAAAATTTGTTATCTTCAACACCGATAACATAGGACTTTATTTTTGTTAAGGGAATAGTCCACTCTGGAAATTTCAAAAAATCTTTTTTTTTTTTTAGCTTAAAAAATACTTTGGAATGTCTACTTTGACCGCAAGTCCACAAGTGACATCGTTCGAAAGTTATAGGCCGATTAGTGGACTCGTGTCCAGACGCTCCAAGCGCGCTCAGGCGAGCGCTCGGAGTACCCGCCCGTTACCGGCGATTATCTCTAAACGATGTTTTCAAAATTGGCGGGCGCTGTATTTTAGAAACGGCTCATTCAATTTAAACGGCGATTGAATTTTCGAGTTAAGTACCGTTTTTTCTAGTCTTGTACGAAGCTGATTTTCAAAAGAATCAAAAATGGATTTTTGGTGCAAGCTTTTATCTCCAATTTAAGGGTACATAAACGGACTGTTTTTTTCAAAACGTCGCCAAATTTTTATTTTTCAATCAAATCAAAAACGGCTACGTACAAGACTGGGTCATCTATCAGAGAATAACCACAAAAAAATTCGTTGTTCCAGCTCCAGTGGTGTGACCGCCAGACGTCCCACCCCGCGACGACTCAGACGGGAGGTCTCCTGGGGAACCTGGTGCAGCGGCTACAGGAGACATCCAATCGCGCCAAAAAAAATCTCAATTAAAGAGGACATTTCAATTGACAAAACCATGCATTCCTTTTTTTGAATTTATCGTTATTTACTCTCAAAAAAAATTCGTGAAAATGACCTATTTTTCATGCTGCCAGAGTGGACTACCCCCTTAAGCTTGAAAAATCTGAAAATTATTGCATTATTTTGTTAAAATCGCTGGTGCAAAATGCTCCACAATATTTTGATCGTAGGGCTGTGGCTTACAGACTGTGCTGAGTGGAGCACTTGGTTTTCTGAAAAGCCTATTTTAGTTTTTCATGGTGCTACTCTTAAACTTGGTATCTGATATGGAATTACATTGTTATAAACAAAATTGATACGGGATCGCATCGAGATTTTCAAATTTATTTTAGAGGAATTCTGAGCTATGTGACTTGAAAAAAAAAATAAAACTGAGATCCGTTCTTCTGTGCACTTACCGATAACAGGAATGTAGCGTACTCTCGGACGCGGAACGATATTTCTCACTGTAGATAGGGCCAACGGTGTGGATAATGTACTTCGCAGGCAGAAAGAATCCTGGCGTTACACAAACTTCACCGGTTTTGCATCCTAAAAAACGGAAGATTTTATTCCAACGGTCCAATTATAACATTGCGTTTCGGCACTCACTTCCGACGTCATGCACCACAGCGGAGGTTAGGGCGGCACCGGCTCGTCCGAAAATCTTCTTCGAAATCCGATTCTTCTCGGTCAGTGTCTCATCGGTGGTATTGGTAATCGCATCGATTTCCAGCAGTGAAATGTCCCCTTCCCTGTGGAATAAATAGAGATAAGTACTTGAAAGTTAGCAGAACTACGCTGGCAAATGACACCACGATAAGGCTTCCCAATGCACGTATTTCCCGAGGAAATAGGTAACACAGCTAAAAGTGGGTATGTGAAAATTCCACCCAGCAATTTATTACGACATAAGCATCGAGGCTTACAGTGTAACGCAACTCGCCAACATCCAGACCAATGGACAGGTTTGTTGCGATTGGAACTGTGAAATAATACTGAACTGTGTTCTCTATTACTAGGCCGCCGCAGCGGAAAATGCATCTAATGCATTGGAATGGAGGTCTTGAGAGTGAGATAAAAAAAAACCGGAATGTATGCACGCAGGTTATTGACGCAAATGCTACACTGCTGTCGCTTAAACACTGATATGCTAATGACAAATGGGGAACATGCGCCAATGGACGCAAGAATGCTGATAATTTCAATAGTGCACGCTTAGAAAAATTAATGTAAATTTAGGTGCTCTGAGACTGACATATGCGAGCGTCAATTTTGACATAAAGTTGAGTCATAACAGATGTGAAATTCAACAAAATCAACGTATTTTTCGTCGAGTAGCGATCTTTTCTGTCTCGGAGCACTTAATTTACGCGTCATCCTTTATGTCAAAGATGGATTCCATCACGTGAAAAATTAGTCATTTCTAAGTGTGTGGCTAATTGTCATTCTTCGAACCGTGAATATTCGCAATTTCAAACTATTGGTAATTTGCCATCAATTAGCATTCATTCTCGTTAACCAATTTCTGTTTCTAGCCATAGATGATCGAAATTCTGTTCTGAAGGGGACTATGGTACAAAAAGCATCCCCTGGGTAGAACGCACCAGTTGATTTTCATTCGTGATTTCCATGGCTTTTTCGTAACTTTTTTGATGTTTTATCAGAATTTCTGAATTTTGAAATCGAAATGCTGCATGATACATCATAGAATTGGGTACCAACCCAACAAACCTTGAATGCTAAATAAGAGCTTATTCAGCTAAAAAATTGCTCCGTCAGGTTTTATTCAGCTTTAATTGTTTTCTGGGAAGATAAACTCAAAGCAAAATCAAAACGTGCGTTCTACCTCGGGGGTGTGTTTTGTACCATTCTCCCATACTTCGGTTAACGAAGACTGTCCTGAAATCAAAAAGCATTTGTTAGTAATAGTGTAGGTGTACCAGTTATGGCCATAGATTCCTATTATAGTGTGTTCCATTTATGGCCTATGGGGTTCCCATGTGTCTTAATTGGAACACACCATAGTAGTAACCTATAGCCATAACTGGTACACCTACCCTACGAATAATTTAAACTACGGATTGGTTTTTTTTCTTTGATTTGTTTTCCGTCGATCTTGTTTTCTGTGCTGAGCACCAATGCTACCGACGCCAGGAAGGCAGCTCCCACACCTGGACCCCACTTATCGACCCTCAACTCATGAATCGGGGACCAACGGCTTTACTTCCCTTCCGAAGGAAGGCGTGATCAGAGATGTTATGCCTCAGAACATCCCGGCGGCGCCGAATGGGATTGAACTACGGATTGGTTGAAAAACTGTATTCTTATCAGCAGAATTAACATATAGAACCGAGAGATCATGTGGCGAACTTGTGAAAGAGGCTTATGTGCCGAATGTAAATTACAACGTCAATTACGTGCAGATTAAAACTCATCCGCGTAAACCAACAGCTGATGGCCTTAGCTTCAATATTCAATACGTTCTTCCCCGAGCTGCATTATTATTCATCATCTTCATCATCTTCCTGGACAATCCGATCGGCTGCCCTAATTCTGAAAAGTTATATTCATCACATTCGGGAGGAAGCCGCAAGTGATTGTAAGTATTGGCAAGAATATGAAATCCCACAACATTTTCCGCAACATCAAATTTCCCCTAAAGCATGTTCCATATTTGCCTAGAAACTTGTTGCCTAGTTGGGATGGATTATGCTGCTTTTCTGGATGAACTTCTTGTCGAAAGTACTGCAAATTTCTAATAGGAAGATCTCGAAATATCGTCAGTAGTTGTCAGAATTTCTCGTCGGAAGTACTCTGCATTTCTCCTCGGAAATTCTCTAAACTTCTCGTAGGAAATTTTGTGAAGTTCGCATCGGAAGTACTCTGAATTTTAAATTTCTCCTCGGAAGCCTTGAACTTCTCTTCGAAAGATCTTTGAACTTCTCGCCGGAAGTTCTCTGATCTTCTCCTCGGAAGTTCTGTGAACTTCTCCACGGAAGATCAGTGAACTTCTCATCGGAAGTTCTCTGAATGTATTATAAATATCTTGTCAGAAGTTCTAAAAGCTTCTTGTCGGAAATAATCTGAATTCCATTGTCGTCAGAAAATCTCATAATTTCTCATCGGAAGTTCCCTGGACTTCTCGTCGGAAGTTCTCTGTATTTCTCCCCAGAGAACTCTCTGAACTTCTCGTCGGAAATTTTGTGAAGTTCGCATCGGAAGTTCTCTGAATTTTAAATTTCTCCTCGGAAGCTTTGAACTTCTCTTCGAAAGATCTTTGAGCTTCTCGCCGGAAGTTCTCTGATCTTCTCCTCGGAAGTTCTGTGAACTTCTTCTCGGAAGTTCTGTGAACTTCTCTTCGGAAGTTCTCTGAATGTATTATGAATATCTTGTCAGAAGTTCTAAAAGCTTCTTGTCGGGAATAATCTGAATTCCATTGTCGTCAGAAAATCTCATAATTTCTCATCGGAAGTTCCCTGGACTTCTCGTCGGAAGTTCTCTGTATTTCTCCTCGGAAGTTCTCTGAACTTCTCGTCGGAAATTTTGTGAAGTTCGCATCGGAAGTTCTCTGAATTTTTAATTTCTCCTCGGAAGCTTTGAACTTCTCTTCGGAAGATTTTTGAACTCCTCGCTGGAAGTTCTCTGATCTTCTCTACCGAAGTTCTGTGAACTTCTTCTCGGAAGTTCTGTGAACTTCTCTTCGGAAGTTCTCTGAACGTATTATGAATATCTTGTCAGAAGTTCTAAAAGCTTCTTGTCGGGAATAATCTGAATTCCATTGTCGTCAGAAAATCTCATAATTTCTCATCGGAAGTTCCCTGGACTTCTCGTTGGAAGTTCTCTGTATTTCTCCTCGGAAGTTCTCTGAACTTCTCGTCGGAAATTTTGTGAAGTTCGCATCGGAAGTTCTCTGAATTTTAAATTTCTCCTCGGAAGCTTTGAACTTCTCTTCGGAAGATTTTTGAACTCCTCGCCGGAAGTTCTCTGATCTTCTCTACGGAAGTTCTGTGAACTTCTTCTCGGAAGTTCTGTGAACTTCTCTTCGGAAGTTCTCTGAACGTATTATGAATATCTTGTCAGAAGTCAGAAGCTCTTAGTCTTCTTGTCGGAAATTCTCTGAATTTCTTTGTCGTCAGAAAATCTCAGAATTTCTCATCGGAAGTTCTCTGGACTCCTCGTCGGAAGTTCTCTGCATTTCTCCTCGGAAGTTCTCTGAACTTCTCGTAAGAAATTTTGTGAAGTTCGCATCGAAAGTTCTCGGATTTTTTAATTTCTTTGACTATATGTTTAGTATTACTTCTGCGTGAAGTCAACGATTTACATAGTTGAAGATGCTAATTTCAAATAACAGACTAAAGTGGTAATTTTTATACGATAGATGGAGGAGATGAAAGTCTAGAGTTGATAGTTCCGTTAGAGTACGGCAGTGTGAAAATTGCAAATAGATAGTAGAAAGCGAGCTAGGACAACTTTTAAAGAAGGTACAAATCGGTTTTTTCATCTCTCTTTACCAAACTCCCCCTTTGGAAAGGGATGGTGAGGGGTGTCTCACCCCCCCCCCCCCCGCCAGTGGTGTATTGAATGCCAATAAGAATGGCATCCGGATTATATGCAGCAATAAAATATAATTTTAAATTTAACGAAAATTAAATAAACGAGGCCATTCTGGAGTCAAAAATGGCGGCCATCGGGTTTCAAATTAAGTGTTAATTACCCTTAGGTATGGGTAAAATCGATACTCGACGCCATTTTGGAATCCAAGATAGCGACCATTGGTTTTATGAAGTTTCAAATACCGTAAGATATGGATAGTGATTAATTGAAAGTGACTTTGTTGGGCCCTGGGGCCATTATACATGAGTGCGTTGAGAGAGAGTGTGCTATTTCGATACGGATCGCCCGGGTAGTCAGACATGTTACTAATCCCATAACGTTTATCCTTGTGGCGTCCAACGATGACCTGGTATGGGCCGCAATAATCAACCCATACATATGAGAAGTGCCGAACAAAGGCTGCTAGTCGTTCTTTCGGGAGATTCGCCATCATGGGAGGTTCAGTTTTAGCTCGACGGATTTTACAACGTTGACATTTTCGATGGACTCTGTCACACTCCGTACGTACCCTTGGAATGTCGAACTTCCTTCGAGCCTCGTTTCTTTCCACTGGCGGTGATACTTTTCATGGATGTCCTGGAGCACTAGTTTAGTTAGCGTTGTTCCTTCTGGCCACACCTCAAATCGAAAGACCGGGATTGACTTTAACGCACCTCAACACCTTGCTACGCAGCTGATGGTCCTTGGTTCCAGTTTTTTCGTAGGTCCGCTGATTCCTTTCCACACTCAGGGTTTCCTTGTAGGTTTTGAACACTCGACAAACTGGCATCGGCATATTTAGCACTTTAACCAGCTTGGAGCCGATGTCAATCATACAAGGTCTGGAGCAACAGACAGCTTGCTGGTGTTAGAAGCAAAATTGTTGTAAACTAATTACGATGTCACGGCAGCACAACATTCCAAACTGCGAACGGCAGACGTGTCGTCAGAGAAAACAGCTGTATCGTGTAAAAAAGATAAACATTGCAGTGAAATACGAACACCACTAAACATTTCCATATTACATTAATATCAATAAGCCGGTTGGGCCAGACCTTGTATAATTGACATCGGCTAGGAACCGGACTACTCCGGATTTTCTTCTTTCGAGTTCCATTTGACGTTATTTCTGAACGCGATCGACTACTTTGATCAAACTTGCACTTGCATTTTCGATTATCAACACTAGAGGCGTACTAGTGGCGCGCAATGGGCGTACCAATTTACTTTTAGTCAGCCTTTAGACTCCAAATGAGTCACAATTCGAACCAATAGTGTTGAGGCTTGGTTCACAGCATAAGATTCACACATTAAGTGGATGTGTTTCACAATAAGTGCAAAATTAAGCGTTGCCGTCTGTATTTTTTTTTTTTTTTTTTGTGGTACAACTCACAAAAAACTCACCAAATTACGAATCGCTGATTGATCTGCTCATCACACGGAAACGGACTCGCGTCGTGCCAGGGTCCTTCCGCACAAGGGATATGGCTGTAGTCGGTCGGTATGGGACGGTTGCTGCTACCACTGCTGTCTTTAGCTCCCCAGGACGTTAGGCTATCTACAGTAACGTAGTGCTAGGGAGGGTGGGAAAGTAGAAAAAATATGATAAATGCCATGTGATTACAGTCAGCGAATTTCCAACGCCAGCTCGCTATTTCTCTCTTGCAAGCAAATCTGGTAGTTACTTGTGTTAGTGGCTTTGTGATTCCTCCTAGTGACGGTTCAATATTCTCATTGTAGATGTCAGACACTAGTCTCATCGCTCTGTGGATTTGTTTTTTTTTTTGGCCAATGTTCATTATTGATTTGTCGTTCGGTTTCATTATTGGAGTTGTTGTCGATTCGGGTCGGGCGAACGCGTGGGTGAGAAGAAAGAAGAGAGAAATATTTACATTAACCGGGTGCACATCGCGATTGGACCTTGTTTACGATTTTGTCTACATTCGAAGCTGATCAGCCGTACTACAGGTGCACACTTGTTGAAAAAGCTCCAAGAAGGTTAATGGCAGTCGCTTGCTGCTACCGTTGTAACAACATTCTAACGGGACTTGGATTGCAATATTGGAATTGCATCCTATAGATAGATAGGTACTCCTATGTGTGCACCTGCAACAGAGATTAGTTTCTGCTTATTCGGGAGCTCTCAGTTGCATGGTGTATGGTGCTGCGTTCTTGAAGATAAATTAATATATAAATATTCAACACAGAGCGTTCCTTTGAGGGAAGGAAATCTCATTTATACTTGTGGGTGGGATGGATCAGGGATCAGGGTGCTTGGGTAAAGTAATATTCTGCTGATAAGATGCAGTCTTGTGCCTGTTTCTGTTTAATATTGATCTCGTGCAATTGCCACTAGATGGGTTTACAGCTCGTTATATTCATTAGGGTTCCCTGATACTTCCTGGTATGAAGCCCCATTGTCGACGTATGCGCTAAAACGATTTGCGATACACCTTTAAGTCGCCTATGAACTTGGTTGGAAGAGAATTCAGCGAACCCATAATTACCGATCAATAAAAGAACTAGTAAAACTATGAGGAACACAATTCCTGACTTCAACCTTTCAAATCAATCCCCAAACGGTGGTGGTCGTGGTCTTTTAAAACGATCAGTCATGCCCCAAACCGATTTCGCATACCTCCCTGTCGCTGCACAGGGCTCAACGGTAAGCAAGTGATTCATGAATCTAGCAAAAAATAAAAAGCAAATCAGAAACAAAGAGAATCCACCTCTGCATACCTCACTCAACCCGCATAATGACGCTTTTTGCTACATCGAGCTATTCGACCTCAACCAACCCGGCGACGTAAACTTACGAAACATACCGCTGTAAGTTGCTTGTTTTATTGCAACTTTCCTCAAGAAAGCCATCAAAAATTTTAAATTGTCTTCACCCAGTTAAATCGTACACCTTTCATCCGACCCCAGGTAATTAAATTACTTCTTTCCATACCGATGACGATGTCTGTGTATCATTTGTTTTCCCAATCCCCGACAAAACCACCGGCAGGCAGACTCTTAACAAGAGGCAGAGTGTGCTTTAGTTTGTTCAATTGAATATTCAGAACACGATGACACCATTTCCATCCGGATCTCAAGCCCACGGTGAGGCGAGAACCGGTACTCATTATGACACTGCGGCCGGTCGGTGGGTGATGATGATGGTTGAGTTGGTTTTTTGGCACCATGTGTTGCTTGTTTAGTAAATATGTGTACGATTGCGGAGAAGAGAGCAGTTAAGTCATGATTCCAACGATCACAGCGAATGAATAGTGGCCTCGACTATGAAGCAAAGCCATGTTGAAGGCGAAGGGTTCTGTTCTCGCTCTAATTGGAAATCTTTTTTTTTCTTTGATTTGTTTTCCGGCGATCTTATTTTCCGTGCTGAGCACCAATGCTACCGACACCAGGGAAGGCAGCTGCCGCACCTGGACCCTACCTATCGACCCATCAACTCATGAACCCCGGGGACCAACGGCTTTACTTCCTTTCCGAAGGAAGACGTGATAAGAGATGTTATGCCTCGAACATCCCGGCGGCGCCGACTGGGATTGAACCCAACCCAGGCCAGCTGGGGTAAGAGGTAATCACGCTTACCACTACACCACCGGGGCCACTTAATGGAGGGTCTGTGTTTGAGTTTATTTCTTCCCTGCTTTCTGCTTACTTTCTCCTGCGCTTTCTTGCTCTGTTTTAACAGCTTCAGGTAGTCGAAAAACGGTCGCTGCTGTTCCTAGTTTCCTCCATTCGCTTGTTCTCCCCGCCCTTCGAGGTTGACTTCTTAATCGAGCACCTCAATTGCATCCCCTGTGGCGCCTTCAACTATCACACTTGCGTACAAACTACTATTCAAACTGCTATCGGACCGATTTTCGGTAGCCTGGTTGTGGTTCTCTTCATCCTGATTTCCATCTTCATCCTGTCGTTGCTTCTCTAGCTGCTTCCGAGCCTTCCTCTTGGGGCATGAAATAATCCAATGCCCCTCTAGCTTACACAAAAACCATATGTTTTGTTCCCTTGATGGGATGTATTCCCTTCTGATTAATGAAGTGCAGCACCTCGCATTTTCATTTTTCACATCCAGACACACACCCTTACACCCAGTGTACATGTCGAACCACAACTCTGCTCAGAATGTTTCCTCTCATCTACTACAGAGCATTCGACATCGCTCGAGCGACGGCCAACAGTCGTAGTGTTGGCCATTGAGGACATCTAGGATTTGATAGTACATTGCATTAAGACGGGAAGAACCCTCATGAATGTAGGCGTATAAAGAAAGAGAAAAGGGTTAGAAATTTCCTTTTAATTCCATTATCATAATTGCATATCCTTTATAGATACGCTTATTTCGTCTACAACGTTCGGGCTTCTTCAGTGTATTGTATTCTCTACCATTAGTAAAAGACACTGAAGAAGTCTGCACATTATCAAGAATAAGCAATTAAGGGAGTGAAATAAAATGGAAATTACTAATCCTTCTTTCTTTCTTTATAAAGACTTGAGCTTTCCAAAAACAAATCAACTCAGTATCAGCTGAATGAATATGTTTGGCAATTCCAGCAACTAGGCGTTGTCACTTCATCCCGGAGTGCATACTACGGGATTCAGAGGAGTATCCAATTTTCATTTTAGTTTCTGTATAAACGATCGGGCCCTGATCCGTTCCGATATGGACAGGCAGTAACTCTGATCTCAAGGACAAAGACAAGCGAGGAAAGAAAAGTGCAAACCTGAAATCACACCCGAGGATCAGATTCACTCTTTTGACGAGGTGCACTAACTAGTCCGGGAAGCTATAACACCGTCGTACATTACCTTTTGCCATCAGGCACCAGTGATGGCAAAATCATCAATCAAATTATATTTTTCCGGTCTCATACGCTCTCAATATCACGCGTGATATTGGAACAAAATATCATGCTTGATATTGATTTTACAAGCTCCTTTGATACTGCGAGACTATTCACAACGTGCAAAAATCAAGCGGAGAGTTTACTAGACACAAAAATCATTCCGTTGCACACCGTTTTCTTAGAAAGAGAAAGTATAGCATGCTCTTTTTACTGTTCACCGATGGCAGACACGAAGTGACTGCTGCCAGCCGTTATGGAAGTTTCGGTTGCGTTCGGGTGTAGAGCAAAAATCATTAAACTCACAGTTTGTTGAGATTTGCAGCTGGTGTGTTTCGTTAGCTTGATATTCCGAGCTGCGATATAACAGCTTGCAAATCAACCGCAACTGTATGCTTGTTGATTGTTGTCTACGAAAATCAAGCGTGATCTTGGGCATTGGTGAGATTTGATTTTTTTATATTTTCCCAACACTGTCAGGCACTATGCTATCGTAATTTGTAACCAAATAGTCAGAAGAATGCGTGTAGTAACCAGGGCCCCAAGCAACGATGAAGCTGTAAACCATCACTTTCAATTGAAAGCCATTCTGTCTTCTCTTCGAGCTGATCCCCGTCAACATCAACAGAACCACTTTCGATCAGTTTTCATGCTGTTTGTTTTGGCTTGACTCGTGTTCATTTCTTCTTTCATTGTCAAAGGGAATTACTTTAGCATTGAAGCGAAGCTGTTCGATCCAAATTCGCGCAGCTTTTATGACTTTTGTTGACGCTTCATTTAAGCGTATGTGCATAGATTTGTGCACGTGAATGTCAAATTTATCATTGTCGAATGGTTTGTTTACTCATCAATATGAAGATTTTTTTAATCGGGGTGACGTCTAGAGATCGAAAATCGATGTCCGACGCCATTTTGAAATCCAAGATGGTGGCGTCCAGAAGTAAAAGTCGTAAATACTATCAAATACCTATCAATAAAGGTATTTTTGGAAACGGAATGATGTCTAGAGGATGAAAATCGATATCCAACGCCATTTTGAAATCAAATATGGCGGTTTCTGACTTAATAAAAAGTGGAAATACAGTCAAATACACATCAATATTGATATTTTTGAAAACGGGAAGAAGTCTAAAGATCTGATTTCACTAAATTGCCGAGCTTATATTGAAATTAATTTCATAAAACTGAGCCGAACAAACATTATAAAATGCCGAAGATTTGGGCTCATGATAGGTTTGCTTACCCCTTTTACAATTGTGCGCTACCTGTGGGTGAGCTTCTGGGACAAGTTGGCGGATTATTTTTCCTTTTCAACTGCTCGACTGTCAAACTCTCATGCAGCGAATCATGAAAGTGGAACAGCCTCACTCACTCGCCTAGCCACTCGCAGGGCTGTTACAAAATTTTCAAAATTGGATCCGCGAAATTCGCAATTTCTTGAAAAAAAAATCCGCGTCTTCAAATACTAATCCGAGACAATTAAAAAACTGTTTTTATTTGTTTAAAAATATCATTTGCATTACAACTACATGGCGTTTCAAGTTTATTGCTTATAGCATATCAGCTTTCGCCTGCTCTCAACTTAGTGTTCTTTGAAGCACTTCCACATTGTAATTAAGAACTTTCCATGCCTGTATCATCCTATGCGAAGGAAGTAGAGAAGTTGTCCAACCCGAAAAATTCCTAGACCGGACGGGAATCGAGCTCAGCCGCCTTCAGCACGAACTTGCTTCATGGCTGGGCCTTTACTAAATGAGCTAAGGGAGTATCGTTTGCACCCTTTGAAAAATAACACTGTACGGCAAGGTGGGGCAAGATGGGTCACGGGGCAAGATATTGACATGATCAATTCAATCCCAACGATCGTTTGCTTTTTCAAGCAAATCACAATCAACGACAATCAAAATAAAT